TCTCTCGTCTGGGTGCTGCTGTCGTCGGTGGCGGTGTTGGTATGATATCTCAATGCGTATAAATTAAAAACAAAAATAAAAAATAAATAAATAAATAAATAAATAAAATAAAAATATAAAAAATTAAATATTTATTGGTTTTTATACGTATATACAGAGAAGGTGATGGGGGGTAAGGTTTCATTGTGCGCCTCCCTGTGCTGCGTTGCGGCTCGGGTGTATGGTGAGCCTGCATCGCCTTTTTTTTTTGTTTTTTTTTGTTTTTTATTTGTTTTTAATGTTTTATATTTGTTTAATTTATTATTTTTGGCGTTTTTGATGCAGAAATAAACTTATTTCAGCAGCAAACGGGGTGTCTCGACAACTCTGTGCACGCGCCCGCCCGCCTCGCAGCTACACTACAACACAGACCAACAAGAAGAGCCGCGGAGAGAAACAGAAAAAAATGTGTTTCTAGTTTTTAATTCTTTTTTTACATAAAAAAATAATTAAATAAAATAATTAAATACTTTATACACCCGAAATTTTTCTCTTTTTTTGTTGGCGGCTTGCATCGCCTTGGCTCGTTGTAGTATACCTGCGGCCTGTTGGTGGTGTTCTGCATAAAGGAGAGAAATAAAAGAGGGAATTTGTGTATAAAAAATATTTTTTATTAGTTTATTTATATAAATAAACTCAAAAAAAACAACAGAAGCATAGATTCTTTGTGTGTATAAAAACCAACAACAAAACATGAGGGGTAGGGTGTTGCTGCTTTCTGCCTGTTTCGTGGCGTTGTTTTTTTTTTGTTTTTTCTGCACTGTCACTGCTCAAGAAGAACAAAAAAGAAAACAAAATGCAAAATACCAACGATCACCAGGTGTACGCAAGAGGTTCGTTGATGCTGTGAAGGGGGCCAGGAGGGGGGGCCGCCAGTCCTTTGCTGATGTGGTGCTGCAGGCGATGAGAGGCAAAACAGCAGCAGAAGGAGCAGCAGCACCAGCAGCAGCAGAAGAAGAAAAACACAGTGGAAAACACAGAAAGCAGCACCTGCAGCAGCAGCAGCAGCAGCAGCAGCAGCATCGCCGCCATAACAAACCAGATCAGCTGCCGAAGCAGCAGCAGGCGGTGGTTGATACTCTCAAGACAAACAAAGCAGCAAAAGCAGCAGACAAAAAGAAAGCAGATAAAACAAGAAAACAAAAACTAGAAAAAATTCTGCATGAAGTTCTTACATTGATGAATACAGAGGGGCCCGGGCTGTATCTGTACGACATCCGCGACGCTCTAACACAAAAAAAAATATTAGATAGATGCAAGATAACCCTGGGGGGGTTGCTGGGGGCGGGGGGTACTGCTGTTGTGTTGAGAGTTTTAGTTGATGATGAAACAGATGCTGCTGTGCTGGGGTGGAATGAGTTTGCGCTA